ATAATTTTAGCATAAATCTTTGTTACGTTTGAGATGGAAATGTGTCATATATAAAATAAAAGGCTATTATTATTTAATGAAAACAAAAAATATTAAATTAAATTTGTTTTTTTGTTTGTAAGATATTTTCAAGAAATTACTAGCTGTCTGTTCTATTTCCTGAAAGAAAAGCACTTTCTGTTTATATTATCTCTGAAATAAATACTATATTACTCTTTTTTTGTACTAAACTCCAAATTATATATTAGTTTTGCTTTCGCTCGCAAGTAAATTCTTAAAGCTTCGAGTAGAAAACATTCGTCACTTTCTACTTTTATTTCTGAACACTCTGAGGATTCGCTGACTTTGAGGACTGATACATTTGATTATTATTCAGTGCAATTATTACAACCGTCTCATCACATAATGCCAATGCAACAAACAATTTTTATTAGCTCAAAAAAGTTGTAAAAATATAATTCAGCACATTTATCGAAACTAATGATGTGAAGTGAACAAAGAAGCGATTCGCATCAATAGCTCTAATTGATGCAAATTTATCCTTCCGATGAGCTATTGAAGCGAATTCGTATCCATCCTTGCTTACAAAAAAATCAACGATTACTAACAAAACAAATTGATTGAAGTAAAAAAATATAATTTCAGGTTTGTTTTGGAAATTTGACAGTTAGGTAGCTGTATTCCGCGGTAATTCTGAAAAATACTGATATCTGAGGAAGAATTAGCTTAGATCACTCAAAAAAAAAGCTGAAAATGATTGGAGTGATCAGTACTGATCAATATCAATTTTCATTTGTTACATTCATCATTACTTTTTACTATTTGAGCATAAATAATAGCAATAAAAAATTTTTGAGAATAAGCTTTTAATAAAAATATTAAAAGGCTAAAAATTTGGTCACGTAAAAAAGTAAAAAGTTTGCTTTAATTATACTTACTCTTATTACTTTGTTTAAATATACGCCAAAATTATCATTTTTTTTACATTTTAAAAGAGTGTAATGTGAAAATAGTACAGAAATTTCAGTTCAAGTCTAGCATTATTGAATTTTTTTAGCACAGATCAATCACTTGTAGCGAGAAAATGTGTTTTGTTGTCAAAAAAATTGAATTCTCCGTAATTATTACTAATTTATCAATACACTTAAAAAGTATTTATACAACATTTTATCAAATTTACTGAAAAATCGAAAGTACAACGCAAAAAACATTGGAAAACTTAGTTATTAATTTTCTAGCAACTGATAATTCATTGCCAAACTTACTTCCACCTTTTAAAATATTGTACAAATTATTTTTTGTAAATTCAAAATGATTAAAACAACTTCTTAAAAGGAAATCAAGTCTTATGCAGTAATTTGTAATCAGTTGCAATTATTATCAGCACTAATTTAATTCTTATCACACAATAAAATGTTGATTAAAAATATTAGGAAAAATTTTGTAAATCGATATTTAATTTATGGATTCAATCAGTAAAAATTAATAAAAATGAGATCAAAATAAAATTGCAATCAAAAGTTGCTTTTAGTGAAAATTATAAATGATATAATCTTTAGCATTTAAGCCTTAAATATGAGAAACTTTAGGCTAATTAGTATTTAAAGGCTTAAATGGACTTATAATTAGGATTTTTTGAACGATTTCGATTAAGACTTTGCATAAGATTGCTTAAAAAAACTGAAAAACGAAAAAATAAAAATAAATTTTGACCTAAAAAAGAAAAACAACCAATCTCACGCAAAATTAGATCACGTGGCCCCGTTTTCAGTTATTTTTGCATTCTTTTCGACGAAAACCCAATCTTCTTGAAGAATTTTTATTTCCATCTCTGAACTAGTATTCTTTTTAATTACAGAAAACATATTATTTCTGTAGTAAAAGAAATAGAAAATTTGTTTAACAAATCAAAGCAATGATAGAAAGCTTTAGAAATTGAAAATTTCTAGCGAATACTTTTCGTAAATATGTCGTAAGTGTAAGTAAGTATTTTAGCAGCTATTCAAATGAATGAATTATTAAATAATTCCAGTGAAGGTAAAGAAGTAATGAGAGTATTTTCTAGCATTTAATGGAATTCCTAATTTGAAAATTTGAATAATGACATATTAATTAAAAAAATTTGAATAATGAAGTATTAATTTGAAAATTTGAATAATGCAGTATTACGAGGCATTAGAGCATAGAGCAAATTATTTTACAAAAAAAATTACTCCTTCACAACTTCAAAATGCAGGATATTTAACAAAGTACATCTGAGAAACATTTTGAATTCTTCAAAAGTTGCCATCAATTGTTTGAAAAACAAAGAATAACTTCACGTTTCATCCAATTAATTGGCTAATTGTATCAGAAAGATTCTAATCTCTTAATTTAATTTTCTATCAGTCATTTTCCAATTTCTCTTACATTGCCATAAATGGCTGCGAGTTTTTCTCAGTTACTAATTATTATTTTTGCATTTCAAAATTATCAGTGCTCAAAGGTGTAAGGACTTAAACGAGGAACTGCTGGGAAATGCTTTGAAAGTTATGAGAGTTCATCCATTTGAGTAAGTCTTATAAACATTTGTGCTTGTTTGCTAAGAATGAAAAAACATAGCTCCGAGAATCAAATTTACTTTAAAGTATTGCCAAAAGGATATTAAAACTATCATAAAAACATTCAAATGACCGATTTTACTTGTTTTTTTTTTCTCCAAAGCAAATAAATAACAAAACTTGAAGTAGAAAAAAGATAGATAGTTCTACTATCTGACGTAGTACTGAACTTAGATGTAATCCAATGTCTTATAAGTAAGTTATTTAAAGTGTTGTGTAAGTTATCCAAAACATTCATTCATTCATTCATTCATTCATTCATATGCAACAGTAACAACAGCAACGACAACGATTCACAATTTCAGACAATAACTTATTTATTTGCCAAACAGTTATTTAAGTATTTTTTGTTTTCAAAAAAAGTGCGCAATATATAAAGTGATTATCTGATATCAGTGAAAAGACTAATTACTCTGATAACACTTTGCTTTATTATGTTTGATTTTGAGAATACTTTTTATAAATAATTAAATAAATAAATAAATAAAT